TCAGTGTCCACTCTTATGGGTTCAAGGGCTAAGTATTCGATGGTGTTAATGACTAATGATTTATTTCTCTCACAGAATGTGAGGACCGCATGGAAGCAAAAACTTGCCAGTACTTTATCAAAATATATGGCAAGAAAAACATTGATGTCTGCAAGTGGAAACACATGAGGACCAACTGCGCTTTGACTTGCAAAATTTGTGGTAAGATACTGAAAATTATATACAGAGCTAAGAAAAAGTTCTTGCACACAGAGCGGACTGCATGCGTTTTGATCATAAGCAGAACATCATTGGGTGCTCTTAGTCTGAGAATCTCAGACTTCTTTCCAACTTCAATGAAAGTGGACAGGTCTCGCAAATAGAGGAAATCTCGACAATGAAAAAAGCCTGACATGAATTTGAAAATGATGAGAGGGAACAGGTGAAATGTTATCAAATATTTGCATCGCCCGAATCAGGAAAATTTCTGTTTCTCTCTGTACAGTACCCAGACCAAAATGTGCAACATCACGAAGCAGATACGGCTGCTGCTGGGACAAAAAGACAGAAGCGAAGTCCTACGCGGGCGAGGGATGTCCCGGTAAGAAGATTAATCTCCTTTTTTAATTTTTTGTTGTTTGGTTGTTTGCCTCTCTATCAGTTGGCCTACATTCTGGGTCGAGTACAGAGAGTCGATTTTTTTCTCGTGAATTTCTTGCGTGAACTATATCAAAACAAGAAAACAAACTATTCTCTCGTGGTTAGCTTGTTCTGTGTGTCTTTTATTTTCTTTTTATACAAAGTTCCCACTGGAACTTTGATACGTTCCCACTAGAAAACGAGTTTGTTGTTGACTCGATTTCCGCCCTGCCCTCTTCATCGATCCGTTCGCCCCCGCTCAACCTCCGAGAGGAGCGTGGGCCAATTTCCCGGACAGCGGCTGATAACAGAGCAGAAGTTTAAAGTTTCACAATATTTTACCCGCAAAGTTCATCGGTAAGCCTCAATTTCGTGTACTCAACCCACGTCTCCTGGTTAACGTAAAGAGAGAGTCACTTTCAGTGTAGGGTTTAAAAATTCTGTGGTGTTTAAAAGTCCTATGAATATAACCTAATAGTGGGTGTAATAATAGTAGGTTTAACTTGTGTTACGTTAGTTACACTAAGAAAACAGTGGTGTAACAAAATGTTTTTGCTATTAGAATGCAAAGACAGATACCCGAGCTATTGTAGACAACGCGTGCAACGATTCTCCAAAGAAAAAGCCTGCAATGTACGAGGAAACGACATGTGTCCTAAAAGTTGTGGAGTGTGTAGTAAGTCAAAAACCTTATTTTATGTTGGGAAAAGGGAATTTGCTCTTATATGTAACTAAATCCAAATAGGATATATCAGAAACATTTGACCATTATAGTTTATATCATTAGCACTATTATTATAGTTATCAATATCGTTATTATCGTCATCGATATTAATATCCCTATCGTTGTCGTCATCGTTATTGTTTCGGTTATTACATTTTCGTTATTATTACCTGATAGTCATCGTTATTATAATCATTACTAACACCACCTCTGTCCACTTCTAACATGTCACACTTCTTAATCACATTTTAGAGATCAAGGCTGCTGCTCAAAGACTGCCTGAATGTCTGGATTCCCCCTATGGTTGTTGCTGGGATCTTACCGCTGCCCTGGGACCTGGAGGAGAGGGATGTAGAGGTGAGTATGGATTACGCACCTCAGTTAAGCCTTTGTAGGACCCGTACCGGGCATTAGGCCTTACCCGCTATTTAACGTTATTTTCACATAGTAGGCCTACATCAGCAATAGTACCTCTGCACATGACACATGTAACAACATTGCTTTGCATTTCTTCTGCTGCAGTCTGTAGGAACCTTTATACCAGAATTTGTCGTTTATGGAACGGGTACTGCCAGCCAAATGCCTACAAATTTGTTAAGGAAAGTGTGGTTCACAGATACAGAAACAGCTGTCCCGTCACGTGCGGAAAATGCAAAATAGGACAGAAGAAGCTGGACATTTCTTCCTTACGTAAGTAGACCATATCTCACACGAAATTATTTTTAATCCATTTTTCTCCATCAAGTATTTTCACTTGATAAATTGGGCATTAAAACAACAGAATGTCATACTAAATTCCAATATTACTGGTAATTTTCTCAAACCAAATTAGATAGTTTAGCAACTGTTGTTTGATGGTTAAAATAATGCAAATTTTTTTTCACTTTTTTTCGCTCAATCAATAATTGACCAAAACACATTCGCAATTATCACTTACCGATTTTAGGTCATTTTCTCGATGCATTGAGTTACTATGGTAACACTAAAGCCCCCTTAAAACACTTTTACGTTCAGGTCTTCAAAAAAGGCGAGTTCCATCAAACCCTTTTTACCAGAAAAATGCTTGCTCTTTTGAGATATCATGATTCACGAAATTTTCAAACAGTCTGAATCGTAGGTTCAGAGCCACCTTAAATATTACAAAATCACAGCATAAAAACAACCATGCGACTAAGACAATGGTATTAGGGCCACAGTATCAAGAAGTTCGCGGATATCATTTCAACGTCCTGCATAAAGCCTTATAGGAAACTTAAGTCGATTGCTAATAGACTCTTTTTGTTTGCAGGGAGACTTTGACATACGTGAAACTTCGAATTCTTCAATACGTTAACAAAATATGTCCTCTACGTGTGCCACAGGCAAGAAAAGACGAAAAATCCTCAGAAAAGGGGCTACCAACGTAAAATAATTACTTGTCTCAATTTGAAATGAAAACCACTAAACATGCAGTAAATATTTGAAGCATCGAATTTTGCATTGCAAGCAAAAAGAACGTGTATGGTATAAGAGAAAAACAATATTATTTATCAGTTATTTATAAAACGTCTCTTTATGAAAAATAAAGTACGTCGCTTCGACTGTATCGTTGTATTTTTGAGGTATCAGTCTTAGATCCTAATCCCCTCCGAACAAAAGCAAAAATATTGGAGGCCTCCTGATCACAGATCTGGCTACATACCCCTGAAAGAAAATGATATTTGGAACGAACGGAGGTTTACCGTCTCACGCCGATTAAAAACACCAACAGTAAACGTATGATTAAACGTCAATTATTACGAGTAAGCAAGTAGTCTCACAAGGGATTTATCACTTAAATTTTTCTTCTCCCTCATCAAAATCAAACAGACCAAATAAAAAACCAAAACTTTCGGAAAACAAAGGTGGTTTCTAGAAGCGTTCGAACCTTGCTCTATTCTTCAAAGTTTTGGCCTCGAAAACTAGCACCACCTTGTCGTTCATTGAATGAAAAATTAATCCATTTGCCATTTAGTCTATCACGCTTCCTCGCGGTTACATTTGATTTGCGTTTTCATTGGTTCCCTGATACGCGGGGGTTTTCCTGATTGATCGATAAGATTTCTATGGTGCACATTTCATTTAAGTCTGGCATGCAGTCCAAAAGAACTTATATTATAATAGCTAATTATTCCGAACACGGAAAAACTTCATCGTTCAAGACTATCATACTCAAGTTAGGCAAAGTAAATTGCTTGACCATTTTAATTTGTCATGTAAACACTGTTCATAAATACATTAAATACCAATGCGGTAAACAAATAATGAAGAGAATAACATCATTCATAAATAATAACAATAATAACAAATATAATAAATATAACGATATCAAAATGTACAGTCCTTGATAGCACTATCATTCCAATGATATGCTGATAAATAAAATATCTTATTGAAATGACTTTTCATCTCCTCTTACTGCCTCCAATCCGCCCTTTTCGCCCGTCGTCAACGACTTCGTAGACTCATCATATAATATCAGTTTCTTTCTGTTAAAAAAATTAAATAAGGACAAAGTTTTTTTTTGGAATAGTTTGTACAGAACCACCCTCAAAATATTCATAACAAACAAGTCATGAGCATGAAGTGTTAAATTTGGAAATAGCTTTGGATCTGTAACGATCCGATTTAAACCTAAAGTGGTTGTGCGTTCGGAGAGAAAATAAGGGGCAATTGTATCTGGCACAAATCTCAGAGTGCGCAGTATGTGATGATCAGCTGGCCACATGGCAACGAGCGCAGGACACTACTTACGCAGCATTTCGAGAAGAGAAGGCCCAGGGATGCGACTGAAACGATGAGTGTACACTTATGCATAAATCAAGTATTTGTAATTTTCCCGTTGCAGCCTTAAAATTAGAAGCTAAAACATATGACAAGCTTCCCTTCAGACCTATTAAATCAAAACTTTGCAAGAAGCTTACACTCACTGTAAACAGAGAGATCCAACATCTTTTGTCCTATCCTGCATTTTCCACACGTCATGGGACATGTTTCTCTGTACTCATCGATGACATTTTTCTGGACATACTTAAAAGCTTCATCCTTGCAGTAATGACTCCATAATTTACAAAGCCTTTTAAAACCATGGCGGTCTGTGCAAGCTGCATAGTAGAATATACATAACATGTTAATGGACTGTGGCCAACATTTCTATTTTCTTTTTTCTCCTTCTTATTTTTTTTAACAACAAAAGGTTTGGGAACACAGTAACTGAGTAGGCTCTTTATGAGCATTTTGATCCGAAACCGAGAAAATAGTTTTGTTAAGAATTGTTCAAAGTTAAAGAATATACATATACATAAGTATATATATGAATGTGGGGGTAGAGTCTACGTTGGCATAAAGTGCTCAATGCTGTGGTAGCAGAGCTAAGTATACATAAGTTAAAGAATTAAAGAGGACGCATCGATTCTCTGTGACTCTGAGTTTCGCGCCTAAGCGCGCGTCAGACAGAACTTTTTCGCTTGTCAGACAGAACTTTTCTATATATATATTTTCTGTATATATAAATATATATATGTATATATATATATCAGCCTTGCATAGTTGTGGAGAATTTAGGTTAACCCTGTAATCCCTCTTTCTCTGGGCGAATGAAAGCGGTGGCATGTCTTCAAGGTTCAAAATTCTTGCTCACCTACGCATCCTTCGCCAACAGGTCCCTGAGCAGAGGTAAGATCCCAGCAACACCCATAGTGGGAATAAAGACATTCAGGCGGCGCTTGAGCCGCAGCGGCCTTGTGTTCTATTGAAGAGGTACAAAATCCAAATCATCAATACGATTTTTCTATGTTAAATAGATTGCATGATCACAAAGATTGACGTAAAAAAAAGCAGCTGATAACCACGCAAGAAAGCCAGAGAAATTCCCTGGCTCATCTTGGGTTTACCGGCTATCAAGTATCTCGCTCGGTGATATTGTAAGATCATTATATTTGCTAACAAAAACACAGTGCTAATGGATACGATTCCCGTTAGATGGACAAAAATGATTTTCTTTTTCCGAATATATCAGAACGGAGTTCAATTCAGTTGAGACTCATTCGAGTGATAAGGAAAATCAAACAACCACGAAGCGGGAGTCCGATTTTGTTATAATACGAGTACGATTTTAGACAGAATTAGACTACACAAAATTCTGTTCCCAATTAATCAAAGTTGTGACAAAATTTGATAAACAGATACCTTCTGGTTGAACATATCCATAAACAAAAAAATAACAGTTGGCTTTTTCCCGCGCGGAGATGAACCCGCCTACATAAAATTTGAATAGCCTACAAAAACAGCGCGCGTAAATGACGCAGACGGTCCCACTAGGCATGGCGCCGCATGGCGAGTCAACTGTTCTATTAGCTCTGAAATTGCATTTCTGATAACCAATCGGGATCGAGAATTTTTCATGGTCCAGTTAATTATTCATCATCAAAAAGTGGCAAATATAAGGACCTCATCTTCAGCGTACCAAAAAGATTCTCCTTCACTTACCGCAAACACCGCAACTTTTGGGGCACATCTTACTTCCATTCTTATTGCAAGCGCTTTTCCTTGGATGCCTTGCAATTCGCTCTCTGCAGTAGCTTGGAAACTGATCCCTACATTCTGTTCGAAGAATTGAAAAGACGAATTTACTTCATGCAGCCATGTGATGATTTCTTATGAGGAATATTGCTGTCAGTGATTAAACATGTGTTTTCCGAAAAATAACCAAAAGTCGTTACCGACAGTTTGTGAGCCGTAACTTGCATTACTCACTGTCTCGCCTCGAAAATGGACATTGACCTCGAGAAAGAAAAGTTTGTCATTCTTGCTGTGTGCGAACACCTGGCAAATTGCCGCAGTTTTAAAATGAAAACTACACGAGTGTATTACTCCGCAGTAATATAATCGAAATGGAAAAAAAAAAAATGACAAAAATGTGCCTACCAGGACAACCGTCGCCAGCATATGATTTCGCTTCCGTTTTTTTGTCCCAGCAACAGCCATATCTGCTGGCCTTAGTTGCACATCTTGGCGGGGGAACTATGAAGAAAGAGCACGATAAAAACATTTCAATTAAATTTGATCTACTGGTAGCCATGCACTTACGACGAGTTGCGTTTTTAACCAAAATTAGTGTAGAATGAACAATTAAAATTAATAGTAATCGACGTCTGGAGCTGCTGACTGCCCTTTTATTTTGCGTTATGAAATCCCGTGTTAAACTTCCTCTGATCTATGCATTTGGTTTGAATCCTTAGCTGCCTGCAGTTAGCTTTTTTTAGCTATCATTACTATAAAAGAAATCGGCTCAGTTTCATCCAGCCTTAGGAAGAGTAAAATACAGAAATATAGATAAAAGGAATGAATAAATATCTTACCGCAAAATTTACAAGTTAACGGGCAGCTAGTCTTCATCTCCGGCCATTTGCAAGAATCACGATATGTTTGGACAAAATGTTGACAAACTGGGGTTGTAATACTGTCTCGACATGCTACGGGAGAAATGGATATTATGATGAATCGTCCGTATTGATTCATTGTTCAATGAGAAAGCGAGGTCTGAGCATTTCCTATAGTAATCTGTGTAAGGAGACTGAAGGAGGCTTTTCCCCTCTGAAGGACCAGATCATCTTCGACTCTGGCTGGTTATCGGTCTTCTTCGGCAAACTACAATGCGGCAGTTTTTCATCAAACAGTAAAAAAATTTATCCAATTTTCTCATTCATTTTAGTGATTTACTCAGTCATTTATTTATTTTTTTGTGCTCTTCGCTACTTTATTCTTAAAGATATTTAAGCGATGGACAAAGCATTAAGGATTTTTCCTTCCGAAACACTTTCTGCTGCACTAGATATTTTCACTGAAAAATAGTTAGTTGAGCTTTTCCATTCCGGTTATAGGCAGAAGTTTTTTTCCTGACTACCAGTGAACAAATCGGTTGCATGGTTCATACTTTTTTTTAACACCAACAGTTTTTTTAAATCAGTCAAGGCAATGTAAAAGAAAAAGAAAACTAACATACATGTACACAGACTGTACTACTTACTTTTCGCCATTGAGGACATTGTAAACGAGAGAATGGCAAAAACAACATTTACCAAAGGCGTACTCATCTTCGAGCTTCACTTCTGTACCACCGCTTGTAGCTTCAAATCTTTCGAGTTTCAGTGATCTTGGTCTTCGTCGAATTGAACTGATTTTACAAATTGACGACGCTCTTATATTGACGGAGGGGCCGACATTGCTCTGCCGAGCCGAAACTGATACTCCGCCGACGCTCGGGGGCGGCGACGATGATGTCGTCGGAAATGCGGACGTGGGATCGTTTATCGCTACGACCGCCCGACGTCCTTCGAAAATTTTTTGGTTGAATCAAAAAATTTGATCGAGCTAGTTAATAAGTCGAGAAGCAGTTACACAACGACGAAAGTTAAGATATTAACAACAGAGAGGACTCCGAGTTTCGTTACAATGTCACGGAAATTTTAACCCATCGCGCGAGATGCAGCATCTTCTGTAAAAACTTATGTTGCTCTGAGTCCCAAACGTTTTCGTATTGTGTGGCAAGGAAATACTTCAAGTAGAGTCATCAACTTTTATTTCCGAGTGAAACGATTTTCTATGTTTAGATACAACGAAAAGGAAACAGATTTTGATTTACACCTACTTACCATAATTGTCACTGACTCACTGACCCAAGAAGATTCTCGTAACCTTTGTCTCGTATTTCATAACTCCGAAAAAAAAAAAAAAGATTAACAACGCGTAACATAAATTCCATTTGAAGTCCAGACTGTTCTAAATTCACATGTAAGCTAAATTACCTGTTACTATCTTGTCGCGTTTTCTACTCAACCTTACGGTGCACTGTTGCGCGGTGGGAACTTTTTCGAGGAGTAAAATTCCTCATTTAGCTTAGTTTAAAAGTCCCTTTTATTTTACTCCTTTTTTTCTCATTGCAGCGTTGATTATTTTATTCGATGCATAGCGAAACACCCTCGCGAGTACGAAACAATTTTGGCCGTTTCCTCCCTTGGGTTTCCTCCTCTTTCTCTCTTTTTTTGAAATCTTTACTCCCCTCTCTTTTTTTAGGGTAAAGAAGTGTCACCCCTTTGGCGCTTGCTGTTATCTCGCTTCCCAATATCCCGTTTGTTTCCCTACTTCCGGTTACCTCATTTTACGAATGTGTGAAAAATTCACGTACTCTTTCCCCGTCCAACTGGCGGGGGTGGGAGCTTGACGTGGGATGCACCGACCCCGTCTCCAACTATGGTTGGATGCTGCGCATGCTTAAGTAAGAACACACGGTCCTTTACGCCAGCGGTAGAAAGGAGAACGAAATTTGCTATTGTGTAAATGAACTAAAAAACAAATAGAAAGTGTACTTACGGTCTAGAAAGAAATGCCGAGGGTTTATCTAGCGTGCCGTTCAGTCCAACCTTCCGGTCAAGTTTGGAAGCGAGATATGAAGGGATATACAATTGCCTTTCACCCAGCTGTTCCACTGTTTAAGCTTCCCACGCGCAGTGGGCCAGTTGGTATAAATTGCATTGGACTTAAAGCTAGCTAGTTATACCATCTTCCTTTAAGTGAATTGCTGCCTAGAGGATATGAAAAAAGAACAACGGCAAGCTGTAGAAGCGATTGTGTCATATTCCAGAGAAGTCATCCAGCTTGTACTTGTGATGTAACAGCTGATGATTGTAAAGCTAACATACAACATATATAAATTAGTTAGAGAACTTTTCTGATGTTTCCATGATTTACTTCACTTCTTTAACTCCCAGAATCTGATTGTTAATTCTCCCCTTTAGCTGCTACACATTTCCTCATAAATTTATTATGAGAATTTGGTTTTCAATCAAGATAAAGACTTTTACCTGATAAGTTTGAGTATTCTCATTACCTGTTTGCTGGATAACACATGGAAATTATGGAGAGAAGTTACAAGTTAATCACTTTTGGGAATTAAAGTGTTAACAATTAAACCCTCACCCCAAAGATCTCCAGAGTAATTTTCTTTTCTATCTGCCATACAATTTTTGTGATTTTGGTTTGGAGAATTTATTATTAGATCAACTTAAAGTCCCCAAATTCATATTTTCTTTATTCTCAAGACTAACTTGTGTGTTTGATATTGTTTTGATATTTGAAGGAAGAAATTCTGTCCTGGTCACTCATTGGCCGGAATTAACCCTTTAACTCCTAGAAGTGATTGACACATAACTTCTCCCTATAATATCCATATATTATCCAGCACACAGGTAATGAGAATACTCAAATTTATCAGGTAGAAGTTGCTGTCTTGATCTACACATAACACCAAATTCTTGTTACTAATTTACAAGAAAATGTGTAGCAGGTGGAAGAGAGAATTTAACATCAGATCTTGGATGTTAAAGGTTTTAAGGGTAAAAACATGTTAAATTAGTTTCTTTTGATGCTGCTTTAATTGATATTTTCCTGTTTGAAATGATAGCGTTTTGAACCTTTGAACTGCACTTTCATGTTATTTTAGTTGAGAATAAAGTTGTTAACAAATATTGTAATATCAACTTATTCCAAATAACTTAAGGATGGGGAAAGGAAAATTTTACTTAATGGTAAAATTTTGTAACCTTTTAAAACTATTTTTTGACCCTGAGTTTTCAGAAAGCACATGTATATAAATCAAAGTAATCCTTGTATTTACTTAATGTGTATCATATGTGAATATGCAGAATGGTGTTTTGTGTTTAAGATACTAACGGCCCTTTGTATACACCTCAGAAATTTAGATTTACCTTACAGATTTAAAACTTATGATAAACAATATGTACCATGTGAACAGTTTGTAAACTTTCTCTCATAGATAGGCCATTCTGGTTATCAAGCTCACACAATTAGGCCCTTGGAACAAATTTACATGTTTATAGCAATAATGTTACATGCACGGAAGGTTTGAAGTGTAGCACCTGTTGAGGTGTTCCTTTTCTATCGTGGAATTTGATGTTGAAATCTCCACACCCAGCTTTTCAACATCACACTCAGGCAAAACATACTCATCAAGAAAGGTTTCAGTGGTCCTGGTGACAAACTCAGCTTTCTTTTCCTAGGAGGAATGTTTGGGTGGAACTTTGATGTTTGTGAGTTGCCTATAAATGCTATTAATACCAGCCTGTTTCATAAAATCTACACCAAAATATTCCTTTGGGGCCTCTCCCATGAATTCTGCAACAGCTTTATAGTTTTTCTCTACAGGGCAATATAACTTCTTTTAAACTTATTTTTTGGCAGAGCTGGTTGAGAGAGAGCCTACATCTCTTGCTCTACACTGCCTTTTGTAACATATGATTACTACCTAGCATACTACAAAAGGTGCATAAATTAAAATATATGACAGTCTCATGTCAGTTCTGGGTAAAAATTTCATTACTTTGTCACTATTCTGTTGAAAATTTTCAATCTTTGTCAATTGTTGGTAAATCTTAGTCAATGATTGAAAATGCAAGTAAATTATTCTCATTGGTTAGGTAATTTGTGGGCTTGAGCACAGGACACAGTTCTGGAAATGAGGCTACACTCCTTAACCTGGCCTTAAAATGACTTTGATGAAAGGAAGTTCTCTAATTAACTGAATCTTAAATTTAAAGTGGCTACTTCCTAGGCTCTTTTTTTTCTGAAATCTTATGTGGATTGCCTCTTTCACCCTGGGTCTTGGAGAGTCAGATATCCCTGTCCTGTTCCTTGACAAAAGACTTCACCCTTATAACATCAACAGGAACAGTGAAATTGAAATCCCAGAAGACAGTGGATGCTGATGATCAAAAATGCAACAGCAGGAGAGCCTTGCATTGATGGACCACAGAGGGAATCTGATCTGAAGATGTACCAATGCAGCTATGGAATTCCATCCATTAAAAACTGAGCACTACAGCATGTAGGTGACATGTTCTCAATCAACCTCATCGCCTAAAGAAGACTAGCAGTTCACAGTGCAAACATTGTGATCCACATCCAAAGTGACCACATTGTGAGACAAACAATTACATTTCTCCTTTGATAGCATTAACTTGTCACTAAAATCTGCATTTGTTTGCATGCGCTGGTCAGTTAACCCCATCCAGACCCTCATATACAGACTATAGCTACAGTATATTTCATTCCCTCATTCATTTGGCCAGTTGGTCAGTTGGTTGCTCAGTCAGGCAGGCAGTCATTCATTCTTTTTCCCAGTCATTCCTTTCAGTTGTTCATGCAGTAATTTATTCAGGGTATTTATGCTTTCCTTGTGCATGGTTTATGACTTTTTTAACTTAAATGACTGTCATTGTGCCATGATGATTTATGTAATATTTCAGTTTGTTATTTATTCATTTATCTATTGTGGCTCGATTAAGGCAGCTAAAAAGCTGAAAAAAGTGGATATGTATGTAAAAACTTCAATTAAGGAATATCTACAATTTTAAATAATTTAATGTAACAGCTAAAATTATAGAAAATCTCTAGAGAATATTTAAAATTTAATTGAGTTAACCCTTTAACTCCCAAGGTAAGAAAACTGAAAACTGAAAACTTTAACAATTTTCAATTGAAGTGATATCGAAATGCATTAATTGGTGTGCCAAAAATAGTGTTTGAAATTAAAGCCGTTCCGATGTCACTTTGATTGAAAAATGTCAAAAGATATCAAGAATATCAGTTTTGACATTTTTCAATCAAAGTGACATCGGAATGCTTTGATTGATGTGCCAAAAATAGTGTTTGCAATTAAAGCATTCCGATATCACTTTGATTGAAAAATGTCAAAACAGATCAAGGATGTCAGTTTTCTTACCATTGCGTCCAACTCTGCACACAAAAGCACACACAAAATCCCACTTCTCACGTATTCCTGTAATATTGAAAGAGCCATTGAAGTTAAACTCTCATTGAAAAGTAAGCGCGAGTTCAGTTCCAAAATTTTGAAAACTCAAGTGCAATTAATCCTTGATAGTACGAGGTCTCATGGGATTACTTGTTTATCAATAAAGGGCAAAATTTATACGAAGGAAAATCACGCGCGCAGTCTATTTTTAACAAATTTCAAGATAACGAACGGTTGCTATGCAACGGATTAGCCAATCATTAACAGGTAATCATGCCCTCTCTTGATTACTAAAAATGCCCTCTCTCTCTCAACCAATCAGCGCTCAGTAATTTTGCCCTTTATTGATAAATGCTATAAACATTCAGGCCGGCTAACCGACGCGTGCTAACTGTGGTAAACCGGGAGGCCGGCAAAACTGTGGTAGAATTAAGTCTTGTTGCTATTTCAATTAACGCTTTCATGAACGACAACGAACAAATGTAATATCAGTAGGGAAAAAAGAGGACAAACTTAGCGAAAAGTTACGAATTGACTCTGCTTTACTGCAAGGCGAAGTGAAGACTCTTCCACACAGCGACCACACGATGTAGTGGTTTGGCGCCAATCTTTACATTCGATGACGTCATGCCCCCCAGTAGATCGCCGTCCCATTTGCGGTTTGTATTTTTGGTGGTTTCGGCGAGATAGCCTTCACGTCACGCCACGAGCAAGCTCGACGATTCGCCACAACATTGAAATATTTCATGTAATGCTAAGCAATTTAATGTTGAGCTAGAGCGTTTGATGTTCTGCAAAGCTATTTGAGTTAACGGTTGAGCCTCTGTCATTAGGAAACATAACTAGCAGTTTCCAATAAAAAGAGAAGTGCTGCGAGGTTAACTCAATGTACCTTCCCCGCAAAATTCCATAAAACTCACCGTTACTCACCGAAATTCCCACTTCAGCACACCACTAAGTAGGCGATTCACTCAGTAGTTGAAATAGAGGTTATGCAAATTAAATAGAGGCATTTTCATTTGTGTAATGATAAAGGTGATTTAAAAGGCTTCCAAACAAACTTTGAAACATTATTTTTACAAGTATCTGTCAATCTGTCGAGTAGAGAGCGCGTAAGAACAAACAGCGCGAGTTCACTTTAAATAAAACCACAGAACTAGTTTGGTAAGGGCTGTCATTACAATGTTTTCTTCAAAAACAAAAAATGATCTTACGGAAAGTATTATTCACTCGCGTCGACGACTAATTAATTAACGAAGATTTACCTCTGTTCAGTAAGTAATTGTTAGGAAATTCAAATTCGTTATTTCGAAGTTGTGAGAGTTTGCTCGTTTGGTTACTGCGATGACGTGTGTAAATCTGGTCTTTCCTTTACAAAAGGTAAATTCGAATGAAACACTTCAACGAGACACAAGAGGATTTTATTTGGCTTTTTCTCACTGAATTCCTTCAGTTTCTATTGTACAATTAACGGTACAAATGTCCAAATTGAACAAACTTGGAAAGACACCGAAAGCGTCTTGGTAGTAGAACTGAAAACTTCGCTCGCCCTTTCACTACGAACAACTTGTTTGAGAGAATTCAGATATCAAGTGGATGAAAGTTCCTCAATTAACCAAATACCTCACGTTTTAACTTACTGGGTACTTTTTGTGAAGGATTAAAATTAACTACAAACGGTTTTTAGGCCGCTTGTCTACTAATTTAATGACAATTTTGCTTATTCAAATACATTTCGAAACCAATATTTTTTGTCAACCAAAGTGATTGTAGAAAGAGAAAAGAGAGGATTAATAAGTTATTTATCGGCTTAAGGTAGTGATCGACGTCTTTACTTATTCAAATACATTTCGAAACCGATATTTTTTGTCAACCTAAGTGATTGGAAAGAGAGAAAAGAGAAGTTTAATCAGTTAATTATTGGCTTGAGGTAGTGATCGACGTTTTTGCTTAAAAATACTACCCAGGCGGAAAAACGAGATATATTTATAAAAATGGCGACGAAAGTAGGGCAGAGATAGGAAAATACGGACCGCGCTGAAAACCAATCAGATTGTAGCTGATTCGTTTCTGTGCCCTCTGGAAAAAAAGTAATTCGCGATAATGCAAGCAAAAATTACTCTTCCCTTGTATCAACATTATCTTAATCCATTTATGATTAAACAGTGGCGAAAAGTCGTTGATCTCTCTCCAAAAATGGTTTTTTTGAACAACTTTTCGCCATATTTTTCCCTCTAAAATCTTGCAATGTTTGCCCGGTGGCGATCCCAGAAATCTCTGCGCATATACAAGGATCCGATTTCTGGCAACTCATTCATTAGCAAATTTCCGTTGTGACGAAATAGGTCATTGGCCATTCTACACGTACAAAGCATGCAAAGATTCAAGAGAAAACTCGTGCTGATAATTTTAATCTGTGTATATTTTGCGATTTTTTTTAACGTCGCTTTGGATCCAATGTACTTGCAATGGATCCATCGCTACGCCTTCGGACATGAAATTTTACGAGGAGATGTTGTGAACAAGCAAGCTGAACTCTCAAGGCGTATACATTGCAAAGAGAAACTAGCAATCCCTGGCGAAATGTGTCCCAAACTTTTTTCGGAGATTTCCTCCTGCGATCTAACTGAGGATGGATTTTCCTGTCCTGACATCCGACGTAAAGGGAATACTACGCTGCGACAGGCCCAATTGGTACTAACAAGAATATTACGAGTATTCGACCTCATTTCACGCAAGCACAACATGCCATACTGGGTGCGATCCGGATCCCTTTTAGGAGCCATAAGGCACAATGGGTTTATTCCATGGGATGATGATATAGATGTAGAGATGCCACTCATTTATTACATCGACTTCTTTGAAAAATTCTCCAGAGACCTACCAGATGATATGTTCTTCCAAACCACCAGGACAGACGTGAACTACACGTACCACGACCGACTGCCGAAGAATATTTTTAACATTTGGTCAGTCAGTGATCAACGAGTGGGATTGCATCATCTCCCTAGGCTTCCCAAAGTCAGAGATCGATCTAGCTGCTACAAATTTTGTCTTAAAAGAGGATGCGCTTATCACGACGGTCTGCAGCTCGATATCTTCGTGGTCGATTCAATTCCTTGGGGAATATTTCCATTGAGGGAAATGACCTTTGAGGGATTCAACATTCTTGTTCCAAACAACTGGAAAAGTATGATAGCTGCTGAGTATCCACATTTTATGGACTTACCTGAAAAGGAGTTGAGGCTCCCGAAAAATATGGACATTGATCCCGTGCACGGGTGCGAGGAGCTGTCAAAGAAGTAGGTCAGTGCGTAGATCCGAGCGTTTGCGCGCTTTCTGATCGGTTAACATTTATTTTTTATTTGCTTGTGTACCCATTTTATTTGCTTGTGAATCCACAGAAATCTGAAATGTGGAACATCGATTACCGCAAGATAATATACATTTTAGCTATGTGGCCAGGTGGTTTGAAATGGGTAGACAAGAATCTTGTTCTACATCAATTCAAAATGGCTGCCCAAGTACTTGCTTTAGGCGGTATCTTATTGGTGAAACCGCTTCCTCTCACAGTCACATTTAAATCAGCACGCAAAAGATTGAGATTATACAGACATCGGCGACAACAGAAATGAAATTTGTAATTGAGATTGTGAACACTTCGGGCTTGAGGAACATACTTTAGTTTAGAGCGCACGATCTTTACTGATCGCAACAAATGCATGAGAAGGACACGTGAGTGAAGCAAATGTATCTCGTAAAGAACTCTTATGATGATTTTGTGATTTAACCCTTTCACTTCCATTATCTCTTTATTAATTCTCCTTACTGTCTGCCATACATTGTTTATAATTTTAGTTTGGAGAATTTTTATTTTTATTTTTATTTTATTTATTTTTCTATATTCTCATCTCTTGCCTTCTTGAGATTGTATTGATATTGTAAGGAGAAATTCTTTCTTGGTCACTTTGTTGACAACTGTAAAGTTTATAGTGTTTCACGTTAATTGCACGCTTTGGTTATATGACCGATGGCTGGTCAAAGTTTTCAAACAGCTAAATGACCAGATTTTTTTCAGAAAATTAGACAAATCGAATTATCTTTTACAATCCAAACTATTTTATGTCAGTGAGGCACTCGTGGGGATTTATAAATCTCATGTCAAATCCTTGGTTTACGTTTTCTCAGAATATCGAACCATGGATGTTGGCGCTCCAGAAATTGCGTGAGGTCTGCGACGTTCTTCAGGGCTCAGTGAAAAGGATGACAAAGAATAGGAGGGCAATACTGAACGCGACACGTGTGTTTCAACTCTATATTATAAAATAATTCAAATAGTACGCGCGCTCTGATTGGCCATAAAACCATTTTACATGAGCGTATGTAAACACGGTTTTCGTTCCTCTTTCATTAGTTATTTTATAAAAGAAATGTAAAATGGTTTCCGTGTTTAACTTAACAGTATAGGATATCGTCACAAGGTTTACTAGTGGTCAAAGTTCTTACACCACGAGATGACCGTTAGTCGCAAATTTTTATAAAAATTTTCCAAAATTTAGAGAACTTATACAATTCAAAACGCTAGTTGTCAACGAGGAACTGGTGAGCGATCTCGAGGAGATCTATAAACATGACGAGCTTTGCTCAATAAAAAATATTCTCACCAGGGAAGCGTAAAAGAATCCACAGGCAATGTGACTCCGCGGCGGGAGGACTGTGAAAGAGAGGTGTTTGGCTTCGAACGTGAAAGTAATTAAAGTTAACGATTAAGAGTGTGTCCCTGACAGCACCAAGAAGTCGTGCTACATGCTATCTCGCCATTTCAACGAAACTTTGCCAGTTTAAAGGGTCTACCCCAAAACTCAAAATGGCAAACTACTTTCTGTTTTGGTCCTTTCCGGGAGAAGATAGAACACCCATCCCGGTTTTTCTAAAATCGCTTCAAAATAGGTAAAATGTATGAAGCTCTCACTACAACTTTATTCAACAAATTACTCTGACAGTTCGGAAAGCACGATAAAAGTTTCAATCGATTTGATTGACGGCCTTTCAGTCAACAGTGCCAAATAAATAGAGTGTTCTTGATCACGTTTTGGGCCCTATCATGTTTTTGTCTTAGGGCCTTTCCGCTCTACCGGACAAAACTACAATTGTCCCGATACAATCCAAGGAAAAATTTTGTCACGACAAATTTTTGTTTCGTCTGTTGCATCCGCATTAACAATTTCAGAGCTGACAAATTCCGTCAGTGCCTGATCTGATCATAAGACCGGCCAGTGTAGTTGCCAGAGGATTCCACCTCCAATTTCCAGGATTTATCCTAAGTCGTTCTAAAATTTTGGATTTTAAAACAAATAAAAAGGGGATTGTGCAGTATAGGACAATTTTTGCGTCTCTTGTAAACTGATTTCAGTTCAATTACACGCTTGTCGTAGCTCATACGACAAATGATTGCTAAGTCTCTTACGGTTTTGTTTATTAAGTCGATTTTGCCACTTTGAAATTTTTAACCGGGACTTATTTTGTCGGCGGTGCGTTAGGAGACTCGTTCGCTTCGGCCAAAATTTTCCAAGTCGCGACAAACCATCCGCACTTGTAAAATATTGATGTTGACAGAAAATTTGCCTAAATAAACAACTTTGTCGCTAATGCTGAAAATTTTTGCGACAGTGACAAGTTTCTCTCAACCACAACTGTCATTCAGTTCTGGCTGTATGCGGTCATTTAAGCACATAAACCGACATTATGTAGCTTGTTATTCAAGATCATTGATCTAGGGAGCTAAGAAATGTAAAAAACTTCCGAGACTTTTTGTAGTAATGGAAAATTTTACGTGTTTAGAGAAGCATGTAGGCGAAATATTGATGGGAAAATCGTAGCGTTTTTCTCTTGTCGTTTATTTTGGATAATTTGCTAAAATCAGCAAATATGGCTCTCTTACGGCAAAAAAAAATTCGTAAGTTTTTGATTTGATCGTTTATTATTCGCAGTTTACAATCAAGACATGGGTGACAGGAAAGAGGGTTTTGAAGTCACATTCCGCCTATTTGTTGACATGCAAGTTCCTGTGTGCAACAATCTCGGCTCGTGCGTACGGTGGATGACGAGAAGGGCCCAGGTCGCACTACAGTCCCCCAAAAAATTAGGCAGCCAAAAAATTCTTCGAAAAGTTGAAACCGCAACCGGAAGAGCCGAAAAATGTGACACAGTTTTTGGGTCGCACTACCGAAATACATAAATTGGTCAAATAAACACAGTTGATCAGATTTCATTTCTGGCGCGTATTGTGCGGTAATAAGCATGAACCCAAATCAGGCATTTTGCTTTGCTTTTGCCAGTCTACTTCTACAAATTATCGACATGCAACAGCAGCAAATGTTTACCTTTTTCATCCTGTATCAGAGTTGGGTAAATGAATACATGTCAATCCTGAATGTCGTTTTATAAGAAGACGGCGGCAAGTACGTAGAATTCGTGTTGCGCCTTACACATGGACCATTCCTCGCCCAGCCGAATCATGGTTTAAAATTCATTACTTGAGCCCTTTGCTCTTCTTGCGGTCATTTGTCGCATTGCTTTTTTTTCTTTTCCTGCCAAATCTTCAGCTGACCTGGAGCTGGTCGGGCTATCGCTCTCACATACCACAGTTGCTAGACTATGGGACCGATTAAGCAAAATTCCGCTGGGTCCCGTTTGATCTAACATCGGTCCAGCCAATGTAGGGTCGAAATGACGAAAACTTGGCTCAGGAATGATCCCGGCGCATAATGAAAAGGAAAACGTCCATCCATGCTGAAAGTTGGCGGGTTGATTATAGGTCATGTCTGGGTCAAATGACTGGCGTTGATAGCTCCGGAAGCGGTGTCTTTTGTTTTTGTAAATTTTTTCAAAATCTGCCTGTCCCACCCATACCCTTCGGTGTCTGAAGTTTCTGCGGACTTTCCAAAATTTTAGAAATTTGTGAAACACCGGTCGCATAAGGAAACGCGTTGTGATGACAGACATTAGTCCTTTTTCGACGGATTATTGATCAAAACTTCCCTGGTGCGACAAGCCTATCAACACCTTTTAGACGATCGACTGCCTTTTGCTTTAATTTCCGGCTTAGCCGGCGTGTCGCCATGTGCATTGCAGTTATTCTTTGGTCATGTGACTCCTTTCATTGCTCTAATTCATCTGTCCTTCATTCAGTGATCAAGATAGCAGATTTACCATACAACACTCGCTATAGTACATTTACTTTTACTTGGGAAAGTAGATTTACAACACAATTGAGTATACGATAGCAACGCTGTGTAACGCAACAATAGGCCTCTTCTGAGCCATAATCGGTCTCAAACACCATCACTTAAAATGCGAGAAGCACATGTACCTTTGTAGAGCGTTTGAGCGGCCATCCAAACCTTTGAAAGGCTCCAAACTACGACGTACATCAAATTTGACCTTCTTGAAAACTGGTCTCAAATTACTTACTGAAAAACAGTGATTGCGTTTGTCCTTGGCAACCATAGAATACGCGACAAATACGTACGAAAAATACTTTTACACATTCAGAATAAATCAATTAAATTTACCTATGGTGAAAGAAAAAAGGAACGGCCTAACTTTTACGGAATGTTCAGTCAAAATTTTCCGATTTCTGCTGCTTTCGCCGCCATATTGAAAATGAAGCTACCACAATGCGACGCAATCGGAGTGCGCACACTGGATAGCGTACTCCGAAATCCGTCAAAAGGAGGTCATCTCAGGTAGATTTCCGATTACGAAATCCGAACTCCCCCGATGTTGTGCTCGTGATAAAGCCCTATTTAGCATTTTTGACCCGCACGATAGTGTAGAAACGAACATACACTTCGTTTTTGCTCATGACTTCGTATTAGCGTTAAGATTTTTGAAATTGTTTTTCGTTGCTAACTTATATTACAGACTCCACAAAATTTTTGCGATGCTTCCTTTTCACGGATGGCCGATCACAACTACAACATAGTGACACCTCCACGAATTCTGTCAAAAGGAGGATGTTAAAACACTAGAGGTCATCTCGGGTAGATTTGTGATAACGAAATCCGAGCTCGCCCGATGTTGTCTTCGTGATGGAGGCCCTATTTAGCATTTTAGAGCCGCAAAATAGAGTAGAAAGGAACACTCACTTCGTTTTCGCTCATGACTTTGTATTAGCGTTGAGATATTTGCATTTTTTATCCGTTGCTAACCTATATGACAGATTCCACAAAATACATTTGATGCCTCCTTTTCACGGATGGCCGACTACAACCACAGGCGGCCCAAGCTCACGTCTCGAGAAAAAGCCAACGATGAATTCAT